AAACAGAACCACAGGAGGAATCCGACCAAACCACAGGAGGAATCCAACATTACCAGAGGACTGATATCCCTTTGTATCACCAAAGTGCCAGGAGGGAGCAGAAAGTGCCTTTACAGCTACAGAACCCTTGGTCCGTGCTCTCTGTGCACAGACCCAGCTGCAAGCTCGGGCTGGGCACCCCAAACCTGCAGCTCTGCAGAACCCAGAGCCAAAATCCCACTGAGCTTCAGGGATCCCTCTGTCCTCTGTGATTAGTTAGAATATAATTGTGCAGAATGTACAGAATTCCCCCCTGCTTTCCAGGTGTAACCTTCACTCAAATAAAGAGAGGATAACAACTGTTCCCTCCACAGGCAAGGTTTGTCTGTGCTGGTTTATGCCTTAATGTCACATCAATCATCAGACCACGGGGATGTAAATAACAAACTTGGTTTGGAAATTGAAACAGCAACTGGTTTTTTGTTTCAAATGATGAGTATTAGTTTATTTAAAGATAAGGATGTCAAAATATACAGTATTGCATCATTAAAATCAGTGTGGATTAAAACGTCAGGCCCCTGGTTCCCTGTACAGGCTAGGCTTGAACGAACAGAAATCTTTATTTTCTGTAAAATTTATTAACTACAGTTATTACAGGAGTCTTGTGAAGCAGAGAGCTGCCTGGGCAGCTTTGATTTTGGTTTTTATTAGGATTAATTACAAGTATGGATATAAACAAACATCAGGATGAACAGCTAAGTTTCCTATGATCTAAGGAACATTAATTCCGGGCTGGCAGGCACAGCCCGGCGTTAGGGGACGTGGCTGCCCTCTTGTGTCCTATTAGAACCTTAAATAGCTTTTAATTTGTTATCCCACCCCGCCCGGCCGGGACAGGAGCTGCCCGATCCCGCCAAGCCTTTGCATTTTAGCGTTTTAATTTACATTAATAACCAGCAGCAAGCAGGGCTCGGTCACCACGGGCTCTGCCGGGCTGAGGGGCTCAGCTCCAATCCCAGCTCCATCCAAACCCCCCAGAAGTGACTGGGCTGTGGTTGCACCAAAGCAGGACATTTCTGCAGGGATTTGTGTTTTCCTGGCTGCTCTCAAGCTCTCTGAAGCGGAGGATTCCCTGCCCGTGCCTCGCTGCCCTCCTCTGCCACCTGCTTGCTTTTCCTGCCATTTCTTGAATTCTCTGCCACCCTCGTACCTGCCTTACCCACACCTCCAACCATCCACAGCACCTTACCTTACACACATTTCATGGGGATCTGTACAGCTGCTTTCTACAGGTGAGGAACAAACAAACCCTGCCAGTGACAGCCTGTGATGGTGCCCAGTGTTTGCTTCAGCCCCGGGTGTTTGTGACAGCCGTGGGAGGGAAAAGGAGTCAGTCATTCCTGCTGCCAGAAAGGAAAGGAGTCATTCCTGGAGCTCCCAGAGAGCTGCTGAGCCTCCCTGAGCAGCCAGGGCTGGGCACTACTTGGATTTGCCAGCGGGGAGGATGGACACGGGATCCGTCTGCACTTCGGCATCCGACATCCTTTTGGAGCCCTGTGGGACAAGGGAGACACCTTTAGAGACATTTCCAAGTATTTCTGAATGGTCAAGTCTGGAATTGTGCCCTGGACTTTTGCTGCCACTGTTTTAATCTCCCTGTTTTCTTCATTTAATATGCACAAATATATGAGCACCATGTGCGTCACGAGAGCCACACAAAGTCCCTGCCTAAATGTGGGGGTTATTTAATAGAATTGTCTCAATTGGCATGGAAACAATTGTTGTCAGGACCTGGGCTCACACACCAGAGCCAGGCTGCTGTGTGTGTGCAGCATTGGAGTTTTGGCATAATTTCTGTAACATTTCCCTGCCCTCAACGCTTCAGTGCAGCCCTGCTAAGAGTCCTTCAGGCAGGATGAATGGTGTATTATAGCCAGCCCTGCTCTGCTCTAGGTTAAAGGAACATTAAATACTTTTATGCATGACAGGTATTCGACAATGTTCGAGTGATAAAGCTTTTTTTACACTGCAAACATAATTCTGGCTTTGGAACCAGTCCAAGACACTAATCCAGCTTAGATGAAGGAAATGTATAGCTCTAACCATACCAACCACATTTTTCACTAACTGATAAAAACTTGGCTCTGCTTTAAGGTGCTTGACCTAATTTTGCTGGCCTTGAAGCTGCCAAAACCTGAGCAAAAAGGACCCACAAACAGTGTTTGAGGTCACTGTTACCACTGTGGGGTGTCAGTGCTGTCTGTAACCCAAATCATGCCCTGCTAAGCAGAAAATCCAGCGTGACAGAGCTGAAGGTGCCTCTGTGCTTTCCCTTGGGTAGGAACCAGGCAGAATAAGGTGGGAATTGTCCCTTCCTGGAAACCTGAGCCTCCACTTCAGGAGGATTCTGTGTTACACATGGGCAGTGAAAGGTCTCAACGTCCTCATGCCCTTCAGGGAATTAAACCAGTAAGGTTTTACACTGATAAGGCTCCACCTCACTGATCTTCTTCCAATGTTTCACCTTGGAGGATCTAAGTATGAAAAAGAGCAGTCAAAAATCACAATGGGCTGAAAAATGCCATCTAAAGCTGATTGTAGCCTTGTGCAGCTGAGCTGGCTGCGGTGGCTTCGCTTCTGCTTCCCCTGGTGCTGAGTTTGGAGAATGCTCTAGAGCAGAATGAAAGGGTTTGGCCATTTACAGGTAGCAGCAAATCCATCATTTATCCACCAACCAATACTACATGAGCTACTCATTCCAAATTTATCCAAAACCCCTGAAACTCTCCCCATCAGGTGAAGATTTCCCACATGGCAGGAGTAATGGGTTCTGCCAGCGCCAGCTCCTGTCTGAGCTTGATGAAGTCACTTCTAAACTGATCAAGGAATGAGATGATACAATTTGCCTTTCTTCCTATGAAAGCGTGGAGGGAGCAGACAGGAGAGGAGGATTCTCCTTGGAGATAATCCCCATTCTGCAGAGCTCACTGCCTTGCTCACTGCAGTCTCCTGCTGCACCCATTTCCAAGGTGGTTGCTGATTGAAGCAGGAAGATCAGACTGGCTGCTGATTCCTGCTGAACTGGAATTTCCAAGCCCTTCTTTCTCGTGAAAGAAAGAACTTTGTTCTGCCTTTTTTAAGGGACAAATTCCAGCTCTGCCCTGGGATTCAGGAGCTCAGGTACCTCCAGCTCATGGCTTGGAACATTTGGGCAGAGCATTTTAAAGGGCACACACAGCAAAATCGTGATGCTGGGGTATTTTTTCCCCCAGATTTTGCTCAGGAGAAGCAGCACATACTCTGATCAGAAAAAATCCGAATACTTTCCACGTGCTGGTAATGGCACAGAGCAGGAGGATATCACAGTGCAGGAATGCAGATTAAACACTGCAGCTCCAGCCTCTGCTCCCAGCTGGGGTAAAATTGCTGGAATTTTGGCTCCAGATGCTGAAATTTTGGCTACAACTGGAGCCATTGATGCAAGCAAACAGCATCAGTGCCCGGCTGCAGGGTTTGAGCACAGATAAGGTTGTTCCTATGGTAGAAGAGATTAATTTATAAACTGTAGCAAATGTATTTAGGGAATCTTTGAAAGATTAGATTAGAAAGGAAAAGAAAGGGGGAAAAAAAAGATTAATAACATTGTTTCCTGAGCTGGAATAACTCACAGTCCAGTCGTCAGGAGCTGGAAGTGCTCAGCCCGTGGAAAGGATTCGGAAAACAGCAAAAGAAGGGAAGAGAAATAAACGTACAAGGCCTTTGAAAAACCCTCCCAGGGACTGCCTCTTCTCTGCCTTCTTGCAGGGGGGCTCCTTGGCGTCGC